AGAACGACTCAAGTCCCAGGACAGTGCGGCCACACCAAACCTCCACTGACTCCAGAAGGAAAAACAAACTGCATAAACAGAAACTGCTGGCGCTCCGCGCGGAGCGCCAAACGACTGCATGTGTCCGGGAGCGGCAAAGAGGGGGGTGACGATAGGGGGGGGAGGTATTAGGGCTCGAGGCAAGTGCTGCGCACAGCTCGCAGGGCTACGCACGCGCGAACGCAATATCATACCATAGAAGCCCGCTGACCGCCAGAATCATCGGTTCAGAACCAAAGCCAGCCAGCCAGATTGCGGCCCAGTCGCAAGCAATGCGAATGCACGCCAATCGCAACACAACCAGAGGCCAGTCGCTACGAACTAACTTCAAAACGCGCGCGCATAGGTCGATCAACGAGGCGTTATTGGACGTGCCATCCAGCCGACCTTATCGTGTCTTCGCAACCCCTCAGATTCCGAGCATTTCGCAGCCATGACGACGCGCGTTACCAGATACCTGCCGCCGGGCACCAACTGGACTCAACGGCCCAGGCACTGGCGACAGGGCACGGGCCAGGGGCTACAGCAACTGGGCAACGGGGCACGGGCCATGGGCAACAGTCCACGGGTCGCGGGCCACGGGCCATGAGCAACGGGCCGCACGCCATGGGCTACGAAGCACCCCAGGGGCCACGGGAACGAGGAGGCAGCCCGGGAGGGGTGGAGTCACAGGAGGGGAGGGGAGGTAGGAGGGGAAGGCGGGATAGGTGCGGGGAAGGGGGGGATCTGAGAAGTGCGCATGTGCGTCGGTGAACCGCGTGACCTGGCCATGTGTTTTCGCAGAACTCATGCCCACGCGAATCCCATAGGGATTGTGATATAGTTTTTGATTGTGACTCTGGGGTGCAAGAAGGATTTCTCGACCCTTGGCAATGTTCTCGCAGAACTTCTGGCCAGTGCCAGGTGTTCCCGGCAAACTCGTGTCCGTGCCATGTGGTTTCTGGGAATGTCATGGCCAATGCCATGTGTTCTCTCGGAACCCATGGTCGTTGCCATGTGTTCCCCGCAAACTCAGGTCCGTGCCATTTGGTTTCTGGGGATGTCCTGGCCAATGCCATGCGTTCTCTCGGAACTCCTGGCCGTGGCCAGGTGTTCCCGGCAAACTCGTGTCCGTGCCATGGTCTCTACGGGAAGGTCATGGCCAGCGTCACGTGTTCTCTCGGAACTCGAGGCCAAGGAGCGGATGGAGCGCCACCATTTGGCACCGCAAGGTTCTCGCGATCGGCCCCGTCGCAAATCCGCCGCGGCGCCGAGAGCCGCGGCATCGCGGGGACACGCGGCCATCGAGGTCACGGGCCAGCATGCCGAGAAACCACGGGCCGCCACGGGACCATGGAGCCACGAGCCATGGGGCGCTCGGAGCCACGGTGCACGGTACGCCAGAACAACAAACATCTGCAGCGCGGTAAGTTCGAATGGCGCCACTGGTGAAATGTGCCTGCCGACTGCGCGGGCACAACGATCTTACACAGCGGCTGCAAACAAACGCTCTAGTTGTTTAGTTTCGAAATTCATCATGAACTGAATCATGATACGCACCCCCCCCCCGTAGTCCTCACCCCCCTCTTGGCCGCTCCCGATGTATGCCGATTTTCCTTCTTCGCAGGACGGTGCGGCCATCCCAAACCTCCACTGACACACCACACGGTGTGGCCATCGCACCGTTTTGGAGGCCCCTCCCGCGGCCCGCCCCGCCACGCCTGCGCGGTGCGACGCTCACGGGCCCCCGACGTCATGATTTCTCCATCCCTCGACCTCCACCTTCCGGACCTTCCGCGCAGCAGTTGCCGCCGCGGCGCAGCCGCGGAGCCCGCCGAAGCAGACGCTGCGGCCTCGACGGCGGGCTGGACCGTGGCCGCTCTGGCGGCCGCTGCTGCGCGGCAACCCCCGTCCGGCAGGTGTGGAAGGTGGAGGTCGATGGATGGCGTGGACCCCCAGCGGTCTGAACCCATTCCCCGGCACAGATCTTTCATCCCATTTCGCTTTCTGACGGCACCGAGGGCCAGCCAGGGCACCCGGAGGCCGAAGATAGAGAAACACTGCCCGCCATGATTCCTCTCTCATGACCCGAAGGGGTCCTCAGAAGGCGGCGGGGCTTCTCAGGAGGTGGCGGGGCTTCTCAGAAGCCTTCTGAGAAGGCCCGCCCCCTCTCACTTCCCCCCCCCAGCACGCCGCCCACAACGGGAGCAGGAAAGAGAACACTATGATCGAGGGGAAGGCGGATGGAGGAGGGCGCATGGAGGGAGCTGCATTCGCCGACACCCCGACGTCATGATTTTTTCGTGACGCGACCCCCACCGACTCCCATTCCCTGGGACCGGCTTCCCTGGGACCCATTCCCTGGGACCGGCTTCTCACCTTAGGTCGGGCATGTCCCTCTACAGGGGGGTCCTGGGCGAAAAATTACCCTGGCGACGTACCCAACCCCTGCGCAAAAGCGGGGCGCAAATAGTTTAGGATACTTTATAAGGGGGCGATGACGGAGCGAGGGTTACATATGTCTGCAGACGGAATTCGGGAGACTCGCAGGACACTGGCTACAGGAAAAGGGCTTGATAAAGCTGATGATTTACAATTCCTGAGCACTCCTAGCCACTTCGAAAACGGGGATCACAGCAGGCCTCGAAAGTGGCGACAGGTTCACAGATCGCAGCCCCGCAGGGATGGCGAGGTCTCATTTGAATCTGCCCGTGGCCCTCACTGTGCTGGGCCCCCCAGCAGGCCTCGAAAATGGCGGCAGTTTCGCAGATCGCAGCCCCCCAGGGATGGCGAGGTCTAATTTGAATCCGCGCGTGGCCCTCACTGTGCTGGGCCCCCCAGCAGGCCTCGAAAATGGCGACAGTTTCGCAGATCGCAGCCCCCCAGGGATGGCGAGGTCTAATTTGAATCCGCGCGTGGCCCTCACTGTGCTGGGCCCCCCAGCAGGCCTCGAAAATGGCGACAGTTTCGCAGATCGCAGCCCCCCAGGGATGGCGAGGTCTAATTTGAATCCGCGCGTGGCCCTCACTGTGCTGGGCCCCCCAGCAGGCCTCGAAAATGGCGACAGTTTCGCAGATCGCAGCCCCCCAGGGATGGCGAGGTCTAATTTGAATCCGCGCGTGGCCCTCACTGTGCTGGGCCCCCCAGCAGGCCTCGAAAATGGCGACAGTTTCGCAGATCGCAGCCCCCCAGGGATGGCGAGGTCTAATTTGAATCTGCGCGTGGCCCTCACTGTGCTGGGCCCACCAGCAGGCCTCGAAAATGGCGACAGTTTCGCAGATCGCAGCCCCCCAGGGATGGCGAGGTCTAATTTGAATCCGCGCGTGGCCCTCACTGTGCTGGGCCCCCCAGCAGGCCTCGAAAATGGCGACAGTTTCGCAGATCGCAGCCCCCCAGGGATGGCGAGGTCTAATTTGAATCCGCGCGTGGCCCTCACTGTGCTGGGCCCCCCAGCAGGCCTCGAAAATGGCGACAGTTTCGCAGATCGCAGCCCCCCAGGGATGGCGAGGTCTAATTTGAATCTGCCGCGTGGCCCTCACTGTGCTGGGCCCCCCAGCAGGCCTCGAAAGTGGCGACAGTTTCACAGATCGCAGCCCCCCAGGGAGGGCGAGGTCTAATTTGGATCTGCCGCGATTACCCTCTATGCTGGACCCCCCAGCAGGCCTCGAAACTGGCGACAGTTTCACAGATCGCAGCCCCCCAGGGATGGCGAGGTCTAATTCGAATCTGCCGCGATTACCCTCTATGCAGGACCCCCCAGCAGGCCTCGAAAGTGGCGACAGTTTCACAGATCGCAGCCCCCCAGGGATGGCGAGGTCTAATTTGAATCTGCCGCGTTACCCTCTATGCAGGACCCCCCAGCAGGCCTCGAAAGTGGCGACAGTTTCACAGATCGCAGCCCCCCAGGGATGGCGAGGTCTAATTTGAATCTGCCGCGGTTACCCTCTATGCAGGACCCCCCAGCAGGCCTCGAAAGTGGCGACAGTTTCACAGATCGCAGCCCCCCAGGGATGGCGAGGTCTAATTTGAATCCGCCGCGGTTACCCTCTATGCAGGACCCCCCAGCAGGCCTCGAAAGTGGCGACAGTTTCACAGATCGCAGCCCCCCAGGGATGGCGAGGTCTAATTTGAATCTGCCGCGGTTACCCTCTATGCTGAGCCCCCCAGCAGGCCTCGAAAGTGGCGACAGTTTCACAGATCGCAGCCCCCCGCAGGCAAGACAGGAATAGGCGGGAGGCGGGAGGCGGAGGCGGGAGAAGGGACGCGACCACACTGCTCTATTCAAAACGAATACCCAACCAAGGAGGGTTGGGAATAAAAAATAGCTCAAACAGATTTCAAAAAATAATAAAACATGCTCCCCAGACTTTTTTTTGCCTGTTGTTGAACATTCCTCCTGTAGAGGGACAGGCCCGACTGAATTCTCACCCCGGGTCGTTTTGTGACGGCCCCGAGGGACGGTGGGGCCCCCAGAGGCAGAACAAAGCGTAACACCTCGTGTTGTTCTTTCTTCTCGTGGCAGGGCGGTTTGAGACACTGGGTTTAGGTCGGGCGTGTCTCCCGACAGGCAGATTTTGAACGAACAATCGAACACATTCCAAACAGATTCAGTTGACATAATCAAAAAAGTACTCCCAAAATCGTCCCCATATTATTGTTGTGAATAGTGTTTGATATTCCTCCTGTAGAGGGACGTGCCCGACTTAACACTGGGTGTTTGGAATCGGTCTCCAGACGTGTCCCGGGGTCCAAACGCACCAGTCGTCCGCGCTGCGTCCAGCCGTGGCGACGGGGAGGCCCCCCGAAGACCAACTACCCGCGTCTCAAACGGCCATCCTCTGGTCTTCATGACGCGAGGGGGTCTGGGTTGGGGGCTCCTGGCAGCTGACCGCTTCGCGCCGCGACCTGCTTTGGGGGGTCCGGCGGGCGCGCGGCGCCGCCTTCGGATGCGCTCGAGCAGCTCGCCGTCGCAGTGGAGGTGCCTCACGGCCGGGCGCCGCCCCCCCCCCCCCCCTTCTATTTCGGGGGGGCCCCGGCCACACAAATAGACAAGACAGATGCCACAACTCCCCCCCCTCCCTGCACTCCTTCTCGGGATGTTCGCCATCCCCTCCACTTCCCATGCTTTCCGACTTTCCTTTTACTTGTGTCCGTGTGTGGGGAAGAGGAGGAGGGGGAGGAGGAGGAGAAGGAGGAGGAGGAGAAGGAGGAAAAGGAGGAAAAGTAGGAAGAGGAGGAGAAGCAAAAGGAGGAAGAGGAGGAGGAGGATTTCTTTGGAGGAGAGGAGGAGGAGGAGGAGGAGGAGGAGGAGGAGGAGGAGGGGAGGAGGAGGAGGAGAAGAGGCAGGAGGAGGAGGAGGGAGGAGGAGGAGGAGGAGGCGGAGGAGGCGGAGGAGGAGGAGGAGGAGGAGGAGGACGAGGTGTGTGCTTCTTTTCCCGTCGCGAATAAGCCTCGACGGAAGGTCTTTGGCACTTTTCTGGTCTCCCGGGTCTCTCGCGGGGCCCCAGGGGCCGGCGGCAGGTCTCCGCGGAAGGGGTCGAGGCCTCCGGGGGCCCAGGTTGTGAAGACAACCACGGTGTCAGGAGTATACCCCCCCCCCCCTGGCGTTTCAACATCGGCCACTTTGGGAGGTCGTGGCTGGCAGGGCGACGACGACAACGACAACGTCATCGTCGTCATCGTCGTCGGCGGGGGGGGCGAGAGGAGGGGAGGAAAAGGGCTGCAGCTGCTCTCGCTCCGCGTCTTCCCTCCTCTTCCTCCTCCTCCTCCTCCTCCTCCTCCTCCTCCGCCTCCTCCTCTTCCCTCTCTCCTCCTCCTACTCATCTTCCCATTCTCCTCCTCCTCCTCCTCCTCTCTCCTCCTTCCTCCCTCCTCGTCCTTCTCGCTCCTCTTCCTCCTCCTCGTCCTCCAAAGAAATCCTCCTCCACCTTCCTCCTCCTCCTCCTCTCCTCCCCCTCCTCCTCGTCTGCCATCCTTCATTCCTCCTGCTCCTCCTCCTCCTGTTCCTCCTTCTCCTCCCTCCTCCTCCTCCTCCTCCTTCGCCTCCTCCAGTGAGTTCTGCAAAGGGAAATCGATGTTTCTGCTGGATATTGATGTTGCTTCGAAGCTGTTCCAATCCCGATTCCGATTCCCTCCTCCTGCCCTTTCCTCCTCCCTCCTCCTCCTCCTCCCTCCTCCTCCTCCTCCTCCTCCTCCTCCTCCTCCCTCCTCTTCCGCCTCCTCCTCCACCCCCTCCTCCTTCGCCTCCTCCAGTGAGTTCTGAAATAGATGTTTCTGCTGGATATGGATGTTGCTTCGAAACCGTTCCAATTCCGATTCTGATTCCCTCGTCCTCCTCCTCCTCCTCCTCCTCCTCCTCCTCCTCCTCCTCCTCCTCCTCCCTCGCGGTCTTCCCCCGAGAAGGGGGGTGTTAAAGGTGCCCCTGGCCCAAAGGTGCCCCCAACTTCTCACTCAATCTTGGAGCTCCGGGGGCCCACATGGCCTCGTGAGGGTGCTCTGGAGGCCGTGGGGCCTCGTTGGACATCCTGGGAGCACCTCTAGAGACCTCCCAAATGGGGTCCGAACCGATGGGGTCGGAGGATCGCGCCGCAGAGGCGATACATCGGCGATACATCAACGATGTATCGGCGACATTGGTGCTGCGTTGAGGACGTCGGGCTGGAGAAATGGAGCTCCGCATCGGCGATGCGGCGCGATCCTCCGACCCCATCCCTTCTCGAAGGCAAATGCAATGTTGATATAATGATCGACTCGCGAAACGCCGCCCGCGGGGGCAGATGTCTGTGCTTGCAGCCGCCCATTTGGGCGTGAGCACTGGAACTTTTGGGGGGCCCTGGGGCGCCGCCACGTCACGTCGAGGGAAACACTTGCGCTCGACCTCGAGGGGGAGATGTGGAACCCGGGCCAGGGGCACTTCTGGCAGCACCCGGCCGAACGCCGCTGCCGCGCCCGCCGAGACCGAAGGCGCGGGCAGGACGCTGCGGCTCGCCGCCGAGCAGTGGGCTGGCCGATCTGACCGCCTCTGGGCCTGGGACCCTCGCGGCGGTCGCTGCCAGAGGGAGGAGGAGGAAAAAGAGGAGGAGGAGGAGGAGGAGGAGGAGGAGGAGGAGGAGGAGGAGGAGGAGGAGGAGGAGGAGGAGAAGAAGGGAGGCGAGGAGCAGGAGGAGGAGAAGGATGAGAAGGAGGAGGAGGAGGAGGAGGACGAGGAGGAGACGCAGGAGGAGGAGGAGACGCAGGAGAAGGAGGGGACGTAGGAGCAGAGAGCAGCAGAGCAGCGCCGATGCTCCGATGGTGCGCTGAGCCCGAGACGGCCACCCTGCAGGCCACTGGGAAACAAAAGACGGATCGGGCGTTCGAGAACCACTTAAGGGGCTCGGAAGTCTATGGGGCCCTGCAGGGGAATACCACTGGCAAAAACGAGACCCCCGCTGGGGGGCGCCATGGGGGTTCGCCTATGCACTCCCGCACGGGGCAGAACCGAAGGCAAACGACGTATACGTTTCCCCCAACACAATCCCCTCAGGACTCTCGGCGCGGAACCGCGCAGACCTCCGAGGGTCGAGAAGACCCAGAAACGCGGCCCTCCCCCGAGAGAGCTCTCGGCAAGGCGAAGCCGACGGGGGGCCTCGGAAAGCGCCCGGAGACTTTCCGCACCGAGGAAGGCCTGACTGGGAGTCGCTCGGCAAAAAAACTCCTACCTCCAGGGTCCCAACAGCATGCGTGAGGATCGGAGAGGGGGTCCGAGCCTGGAGGGCGAGGAAGGTGCCTTCCTGGAGGTGACCCTGGAGGAAAAGGTCAGCAGCTCTACGAGAGCAGTTGATCGCGACCAGACGCGCTCGGAACCCTGCCTCACTCAAAGCTCGTCGTCGTCCTGGCCCTGGCCCCCTTTCCACTGGTTTGTCCATGAGGGTTAGCTGGCCCAGGAGCTTCGCCGCCTCGCGCTCCAGACCCCCTCTCGGCGGGGACCCTGGCAGGTAGTGCACCTTCTTGCTGGCCTCCTCGTTGTTGCTGACCGCCACCACGGTCCTGCGCACAGCCTCCATCAGGGTGATCTCGCATCCGTTCCAGTTGTTGGCCTGCTGCTGGATCCCCAGCATTATCTGCAGTTTGTAGCGGTCGGGCTTGTTCGTCTTCTTCCTGTCGAACCAGCATGCCTTGAGCCTAAAGTGCCTGCAGTGCACCGCGAGCGTGTCCAGCGCCGTCGGCGACAGAATCACAGCCTTCCAGTAGTCCGAGAAGAGGTCCTTGGCTTCCTTTGGGGTGGTCTCGACGCCCTCCGTGCAGGCCCACTTGGTGAACGCTTTGAAGACGTGGGGCCAGGGTGGCCCGTGCTTGTGGCCCTTCCCGTCTGCCTTGCAGTTCTCCGCGTAGTTGCGCCCCGTCTCCAGGAGCACCTTCACGCACGGCACCTCTGCGCCCACCATGTAGCACGTGTAGCAAGCGCCAGTCACCTCCGCCAGCTCCCGCGCGCTGGTGAGTGCGAGCTTCGTAAGCACCGTCAGCAGCGCGGCCAGCGCGCCGCCCTTGCCCCGCTCCTGGTTCGCCTTGGCCTCCTGGCCGGGCTCCTCCAAGAGACGAGCCTACTTGGCGCCCTTCGAGTCGCTGCTGTCTCCGTCTGTCTTGCGCTTGCCGACGGCCCAGCTGGGCCCCTCCATCGCCGCGAAGCACTAAGGGCAGGTCGTCGAAATGAACGCGCGCATGGATATGAAGCTGCTGCTCAGTCGCTGGTTGAGCCTCGCATAGGCGACAGTCGAAGGGCCCCTCTGGACCTGGAGCTCGAGCGTCGTGCTGAGCTGCGGCTTGCAAAATACCGATGCGAACGAATCCAGGACGCGGTTGTAAGCAGCATTGCGACTCTGAAGCCGACTGCAACACACAAAACACGAAGTCCCAGGAGTAACCTCGGAGAGAAGGGTCTTGTACCAGTGGACCACCCGAATGCGGACGAGTCGTTGCCGTTTTGTCAGAAACAATTTGGCGCAGTCCCCGACCCCGCAGACGCCTCCTTCAGCGCGCCCTGCGGGTGCCTCAGGCGGCGCAGCGGGGGCCTCGCGGAGCACTCCAGGAGGAGGGAAACAGACCGACAGCAAGGCCGCCCTGACGACCGAGAGGTCCACCTCCGTGAACCAGTCCCTCATGTCCCCTCCTCGAGAAACGCCAGCGGGGCACCAGACCACGATCGCATATCCTCCTCGAAATCCGAAGATACCCTCCGAAGAGCCTCGAAGCCCCTGACGTACTGAACCACCCAGGGGTTCGCCGTGTCCGCGAGGTGGCCCTCGGAGCCCAATGTGCGGAGCCCTCGCTGCTTCTCGATTTTCATGTCGCCAAAGAAGGGGGGGGCCACTCACTCATGTGCCGCCCGGGGTTGAGAGCCCACCTTTGGCGCCACCGCAGACGCCGAGCACGGAGCTCGACCTCGAGCGGGGGGGCCTTCAAGTACCTCAGGACGGCCTCCGAGGAAATAGAGCGAGCGCGCCCCCCCTCCCGAGACGCGGCGGCCCCCCTCATCGCTTTGCGCACGATGAGGACAACCCTGTACGTGAGCGCGTGGGTCTAGGTCAGGGTCGGGAGGAAGGCCTCGCACGCCGAGCAAGCTGGACCCACCGCCCTGGCCAGGAAGACAGCCCGCCCCTCAGTGTAGGAGATGCGCTTCGAGAACCAATACTTACCCATGGAGTAGAAGCCCGAGGAAATAGCGGCCAAGCGCGAGGCCAGCTCTGCCCGAAAAGAACAATTGCCCACGACCTGCCCCCCAAGATGTCGCGCAGCGTCTGCCGGAGCCCCAGAGAGAACGGCAGTTTTTTCCAATCACTTCACGACGGCGCGCATGTAGCCCTCCACCCACAAATGACAACAGACTGACATTCTTGGCGGGGTTCAGCGCGTACCCGTGGCGCCTCAGCTCCGCGGAAAGCAGAGGGTCATGTGCCCTCGACCGCCGCGCGAGCTTCAGAGTCGATGTCTGGTCGGCCACGACAAT